AAGTATTTTTTTATTGCGTAATTCAGTTCGGATAGTTTCTAGTACTTTGTCATCAAGATTACTACTATTTTCTTCTGCAGTGCCTAATTTGATGTTAATCCTTTCCAAAGTATTTTTCACCTTAAATTATAGTGTTTTTTCATTTCTAGAAGTTTAATTTTTAAATTTTTTTATAGCTTCCTTTTCTTTCCTTCTTATTCTAATGTCTTTCTACACATACTTGAACATATAGAGTATGTTTATGAAATTTAATTTAACATTGTTAGCTACATTAGAATTGTTTGCTAATTTATCAATTTGCTAATTCATCAGTGTCATTTCTGGGTATGTTCTCATTGTCTGATAATTTCTTCTGGTTGTGGGCCATATTTTTCTGCTTGTTTGAATGTCTGATCATCTTTGGTTTTATATTAAACATGGTGAATATTACATTTTTAGGGATGGATATTGTTTTTCTTTAAATATTGTAGGTTATATAGAGCAAAACAAAACTAATATGGTAGTATTTTACTTGTGCTCACAATCTATTCTGTGCTATGGAGATCGCTGACTTGGATTTTTATACTTATCAAAAGATGAAATAATTCAGGACAATAATTCAGTCTTCATCTCTTAAGCTGTAATTCTTCTTTAGTTGTGATTTCTTTCCTAAGATTAGATTATAAACTGATTCACATAGAAATATTCTCTTGGAAGACTTTTTAAAAGCTTATTATGTTCAATTATGCATACTCTTTCCTTCTTCTTATAATATGCCTTTTCTTATTAATGGTTTTATTTATCTCTCAGGTTTGAAATTTCTGATCCTTTTCTTCTTTTTTATTCCTACTGCTATCGTTTCTTTACCAGGTAGTTAGTTTTTTAAGACTTTGTTGTAAAATAATCTCCAGTTTGATCTCTCTGAGTTCAGTTTCCCTTTTCTTTTCATATACCATGTGAATGTCAGTTTACGTTTCCTTGACCATTATACTCAATGTGACTTTTTCCTATACAGAAAGCTTGAATGTCTTATATTATTTTCCCGATGAAGTCCGGATTCTGATGAGTGACACTGAGCAATCTCCATATTTGACTGAATGTGTTGTCTGTGGTTCTGACACTTTCCCCTTCCTACGTGTTGCTCACATCACATCCACCAACTGTAATTTTCTAGACTCCTGCTAGTCTTTGCTTTCATTTTGCACCCTCCACAAAGCCTGTTATTAACTTCTTCATCTCATAATGGGCCAATTCCTTTTGAATGTTCACAGTATTTATTGTCTGTATCACTCATTTTCTATTTTATTATACAGGCTTTTTGTTAGTTTTTACCCTGTGAGCTTGTTTTTAAAATTCTGTGGATATGCAGATTGTCTAACTGCATCTGGTCTCAAAAATCCCTGATCCCTTTGCTCAAGTTGTAGGTTCATATCAGAAATGAAGACATATGGCCAATTTTCTTAGATCTGGCTGAAATCTAGGAAATGGAGAAGTTTGTAGATGATTTTGGGCATTTGGTAATCTTTAGGTTGACCCAGAATTGCTCTGGTTTCCTAGGTTTCATTGGTTTACCTTAGAACAGACCTAATTTTCTGGATTGCCTCAGATTTCTGGAATGTGAGATAGAGTTGTTCATGTTAAAGAGTAGTTGTTAAGTTACTTTGGAGTGGGCTCTTCATCTATGCAGTTACCATAAGGAATGTTCAATTTAAACTAACGCATATTCTCTGTCTTTTATTTTAAAGGTGAAGTCTTTTGGGACTGTGTTCCCATCACATTTATTTTTATTGTAATATTTTATATTATTGGCTTTTCTCATATTCTCTGGATGGAGATCAAATATGATATGGTCTTGACTGTTAAGACCAGTGATATATAGGGATCTGAACCCTGGACCTTGGTGTTATAAAACCACATTCTAACCAACTGAGCTAATTGTCTACCTGGTATATATATTTTAAAACTTTATTCATGGTATTAGAAAAAGAAGGCAGTGTTTTTCCTTAGATTTCAAGTACGTGGCTGGTCTCTGATTCCAGGCCTTTATGTTCTGTCCACCTTATTGACGTAAGATTTTTTTTCTTTATGATACTTTTTTGAGATATAATTCACATGCTATAAAATTCATCCTTTAAGGTATACAGTCAAGTTGTTTTCAGTATATTTACAAAGTTCTGTAACCATCACCACTATCTAACTTTAGTTTATTTTTATCATCCCAAAAAGTAATGTTGTAGTTACATTAGTAGTCACTCTCCGTCTTCCTGTTCCCTGTCTCTAGCAAACACCGATCTACTTTATGGGTTTGCCTATTCTAGACATTTCATATAAATGGAATTATCTAATATGTGGTCTTTTGTGATTGGCTTCTTTCACTTAGCATAAACTTTTTAAGGTTTTTCCATATTGTACTATGTATTGGTACTTCACTACTTTTTATTGCTGATTAATACTCCGTTGAATAGACGTATAATGTGTATTCATTCACACATTCATCAAATGTCCATTGATTGATGGACATTTGAGTTGTTTCCACTTTTTGATTATTGTGGATAATGCTGCTTTGAATATTCGTGTATAAGTTTTGTGTAGACATATGTTTTTATTTCTCTTGTAATTGCTGGGTCAAATGGTAACTCTATGTTTAAGTTTTTGAGGACCTGCCAAATGTTTTCCAAAGTGGCTGTACCATTTTACATTCCCTTCAGCAGTGTGTGAGGGTTCTAATATCTCCATATCCTTGGGAACACATGTTCTTATTTATCTTTCTGATTTGTAGCTGTCCTTTTAAGTGTAAAGTAGTATTTTGTTATGATTTTAATTTGCCTTACCCTGATGACAAATGATGTTCAGCACATTTTCATGTGCTTACTGGTCGTCTGTATATCTTTGGAGAAGTACTAATTCATGTCCTTTGCCCATTTTAAAATTGTGTTGTCTTTTTATTTTATTTTGTTTATTTATTTTTTTTAAAAGATGACCAGTAAGGGAATCTTAACCCTTGACTTGGGGTTGTGAGCACCACACTCTCCCAAGTGAGTTAACCGACATTCCCTACATTGATATCCAAACCCATAGCCTTGGTGTTATCAACACCACATTCTCCAAAGTGAGTCACAGGCTGGCCCTTGTCTTTTTATTTTAGAGTTAAAAAAATTTTTTTATTCTGGATACAAGTCCTTTATCAGACATATGATTTGCAAAAATTTTCTCTCATTCTGTGAAGTTTTTTCCTACTTTTTTTATGGTGTCCTTTGAAACACAAAAGTTTTTAATATTGATTAATTTCAATTTATCTAGTTTTTTCTTTGGTTTCTTGTACTTTTGGTATCAAATCTAAGAAATCATTGCCTATTCCAAGGTCATGAATATTTGCCCTTATGTTTTCTTCTATGACTTTTATAGTTTTAGCTCTTACATTTAGGCTTTTATCCAATTTGAGTTAATCATCATATATAGTGTGGGATAGGGGTCCAATTTCATTCTCTTACATATGGATATCTAGTTATCTCAGTACCAATTATTGTAAAGACTATCCTTTCTTTATAGAGTTGTTTTGGCATTCTTGTTGAATTAACCATAAATGTAAGGTTATTTCTGCATTCTCAATTCTATTGCATTGGTATATATGTCTATCCTTAGCTATATATGTCTAGTTCATACTGTATCGATTAATGTAGTTTTGCAGTAAGTTATAAAACCTAGAAGTGTGAGTCCTTCATTTCTGTTCTATTCAAGATTGTTTTGACTATTCTGTATTCCTTGCATTTCCATATGAATTTTAGGATTAGCTTGTTAATTTCTGCAAAAAAAGGCATTTGGGATTTGACAAGGGATTGCACTGAATTAGATCAATTTAGGGAATATTGCCAATGTAACAATATTAAGCCTTTCGATCCATGTACAGGGATGTACTACCCATTTGTTTAGGTATTTAAAGTGTTTTTTCAACATGTTTTGTAGTTTTCAATATACAAGTCTTACGCTTTTTTTGTTAAATTTATTCCCATCTTATTGTTTTTGATGTTATTGTAAATAAAATTATTTTCTTAATTTCATTGTCAGACTGTTTATTGCTTAAAATATAGAAATCCAATTCATTATTTTATATTGATCTTGTATCCTGCAATCCTGCTGAACTTATTTATTAGTTCTAATAGTTTTTTAGTGCAATCCTTAGGATTTTTTGTATACAGGATCATGCTATCTTCAAATAGAAATAATTTTATGTACTTCCTTTCTAATCTAGTTGCTCTTTATTTCTTTTTCTTGCCTAATCATCAAATTGTCCAACATTGTTGAATATTAGTGGTGAGAGTGGACATCCCTGTTGTTCCTGATCTTAGGAGAAAGCATTTAGTCTTTCACCATTAATTATTATGTAAGCTCTGGACTTTTTGTAGATGCCCTTTATCATGTTAAGGAAGTTCTCTTCTATTTATAGTTTGAGTGTTTTCTCATGAAAGGGTATTGCATTTTGTCAAAGCTTTTTTCTTATGTCTATTGATATGATCATGTCTTTTGTCCTTTATTTTAGTAGTATGGGGTACTACACTGATAGATTTTTAGATATTAAACCAACCTTGCTTTCCAGGGGTCCTTCTTGTCTGTGATGTATAATCCTTTTTATATTTTGCTGGATTTGGTTTGCTGGTATTTTTTTTTTTTTGATGATTTTTGTATCAATATTTACAAGGTGTTTTGATGTGTAATTTTGTTTTTTCATTATATTTTTGTCTTGTTTTAGTATCAGAGTAGTATTGGCATCATACAATGAGTTAGGAAGTGGTTTCTCACCTTCAAATTTTTGGAAGAGTTTATGAAGGATTGGCTTTAATTCTTTAAGACTAATGGTATTTTAATTTTTTATTTTTGTCTTGTTTTAGTATCAGAGTAGTATTGGCATCATACAATGAGTTAGGAAGTGGTCTCTCACCTTCAAATTTTTGGAAGAGTTTATGAAGGATTGGCTTTAATTCTTTAAGACTAATGGTATTTTAATTTTAATTTTTGTCTTTCAGGATTCTCCTTTTACAAATGCAGGAATGGGATCTAATCTAAATCTCTTAGGTGAAATTGAGTGTGATGCCAGCATAATGGATGGAAAATCCTTAAATTTTGGAGCAGTTGGAGCACTGAGTGGTATGTGGGTGTAATGACACACTATCTCTGTTTTTTGAAAAACTATGCATATTACCATTTCATGCCTGCTGAAGACTTAGTTCAGTGTTTTTCTCCATTCTTGCTTGGAATAATGTTAAAAACATACTTTTTTTTCTTTTACTGAATATGAGACATAAAATCTTAGCTAGGAAGAGTTCTAAAGAAAATAGCAAAGCAGCCTATGTCCAAGTTTTGGGTTAGAATTTTCCTCCATCTCTTCAAGAGATTACAGACATTTAAAACTTGTTTACAATATTTTATTAATTTTACAATTTGAAATACACAAATAATATATTTTATTGTAAAACATTTTACATGATATAAATAAAATTTACCTTTGATCCTTCACATCTTTTCTTCTCATTCCCTTCTCCCATTGGGGTTTAACCAGTAAAAACCCAGTGCCTTTATTTCTATTTTTATGTAATAGATACATAGTTTTATTTTGTGCATATGGTGGTTTTTTAAAAAATAAATGTATGTATTATTATGAAACTTTTTTTCTTTAAGTAGGGTGTCTTTGAGATTTTTTTCAACATCATCAGTATATAAAACATATATCTGATGTTTTATAATTGTTTTATTAAAGCAAAATATAGATGAAGTGCAAAGATTTTAAGTGTACAGCTTCATGAATTTTTAGGTGTATACAGCCATATAAACCACTACCTAGATCAAGATATTAAATATTTCCTTGTCAGAATATGAAACATTTTCATAATCCCAGAAGGGCACTTTATACTTCTTAGTGCATACTTCTTGTACCCCACCTACCCCATTCTGACTTTAGGCACCACAATTAATTGCCTGTTTCTGAAATTTTTATGAATGGAATTATACACCCTTGTGTCTGATTTCTTTTGATTACCAGTAAGCCTATGAGATTGATCTGTGTTTTGTGTCACAGTAGTTTTTTCTTTTTTATTGCTTAGTAGTATTTTATTGTGTGAATGTACTATAAGTTTTTTTATCTACTCTCCTCTTTCTTAGTGGACATTTGAATAGTCTCTAGTTTTTGACTATTATGAATAAAGCTGTAGTGAATATTCTTGTACATGTATTTTGATAGATGTATATATACTTATTTCTCTTGGGTATATATCTAGGAGTTGAAATAAATTTAGGTACATATATGCTTTGTTTTAGTAGACATTGCCAGTTTTCAAAAGCAATTGCAATTTTTATTCTCACAAGCAGTGTATGAGCATTTCAGTTACTCTACAGTCTCACCCATTTTTGGTAATATTATTTTTAAATTCAGCCATTACATTTTTTTTTTTAATTGGACCATTGATTTTGTGAGTGCCGCTGCTGTGGAGGTGTAACACCGGGGGAGACGGGGAGTGGGCTCACCCCTGGCTTCCTCAGAGAGAGAGAAAACGGCAAGGGCCTCTCAGCCACCTTCCCAGCTGGGCTTTCTCAGCTGTCCTGGAGCCATTTGCAGCAAAGCCGTGGAAAATTTAGCGATTTTGATATATGTGTAGTGCTATCATTGTTTCAACGTAAGTTTTCCCTGGCAACTACTGATACTGAAAACCTTTTTATAGGCTTATTGCCCATTTAGATATCCTCATTGTGAAGGGTGTGTTTACATCTTTTGCATATTTTTATTAGATTTTTTTTGTTGATTTGTCAGAGTTCTTTATGTATTTTATTTTTAATTAAAAAAATTATTTATTTTAGGGCCGGCCCATGGCTCACTTGGAAGAGTGTGGTGCTCATAACACCAAGGCCAAGGGTTTGGATCCCTACAGAGGGATGGCCGGTTAAAGTAGGAGACAGAAACCACACAGTAGTTTAAACAGGAGGAGTTTAATATAAAGAGTTATTAAGCAGTATAGGAGAGTAACTATATGAGTATAAATATGGAAAGAGAACTCAAAGTGCATCCTAGGGCAGAGGGGTAATACTCAAGGAAGCATAAACTTGGAAGTGGGTTCAGACTTTGTTGAAGAAGATATGGTTACTGCCCACTGTATGGCAGAGCAGTTGCTGGGTTACCTGGGCCAGAGCTGGTTGACAGCCACTGTGTGAACAGGACCAATCCTATGGGGCAAAGGCAATCTCAGGCTGATAGGTGGGCACACAGAGGTCAAGAGGCTGTGGGTATTCAACATCCATTGTGCAGGATAAATATTGGGCTTTGGCTTACTAGGCAACCATCCCAATGCAACACTTGCTTCATGTGTGCTTGTGGAGAGAACTCAAAGTGCATCCTAGGGCAGAGGGGTAATACTCAAGGAAGCATAAACTTGGAAGTGGGTTCAGACTTTGTTGAAGAAGATTACTGCCCACTGTATGGCAGAGCAGTTGCTGGGTTACCTGGGCCAGAGCTGGTTGACAGCCACTGTGGGAACAGGACCAATCCTATGGGGCAAAGGCAATCTCAGGCTGATAGGTGGGCACACAGAGGTCAAGAGGCTGTGGGTATTCAACATCCATTGTGCAGGATAAATATTGGGCTTTGGCTCACTAGGCAACCATCCCAATGCAACACTTGCTTCATGTGTGCTTGTGGACCTGAGGAGAGGGTATGGGGATCAGTGACCAGGACTGGGGTGTAGTCTTATTCTTTCTGGGACTCCCAGCTATGCCACTGTGGCCCAAATCAGGAGCAGGAAAAAACAGGTGATGGCCAAGTACTGGAGAAAGCTGACCCTGTGAGCACTTAACATTGGAGAACACCATGTGGGCCAAATAGTAGAGACAATATCATGCTCTCCTAGCTAGCAAGCCACCCTTTCCTTCTGCAATGTGTCTCTAGTGTCCTTTACTGACAAAGCTTACCATCGTGCCAACTGGCAGAGGAAATGTCTTTAAAGGGCTCATATCCATTTTCACAGATCAGGCAACAAAGGATGAGTTTATAGCTGAGAAGCAATAAACTGATAGCAGGTACGTTTGGAAAGTAATCTGACTCCTGTGCTTTTCACTGTATGTTTTTTCTACCTCTCTATGTATGTAGTCCATCTTTTTCCCACTCATTTGAAATGCTGTCTATATTATATATTAAATACCCAAAGTCACAGTGTCTGTTTCTGAACTTTAGCTTTATTCTACATATTCCATTGATATATTTGTCTATTTTGTACCCAGACTACACTCTTTTAATTAGACTAGCTTTGAATAAGAAATGGTGTCTCATAGGGTGAGTACCTCTTCATTTTCACAGTCTGCTTTTCCTGATTAATTTAAGAGTCAGCTTGTCATGCATCATAGAAATTCTTTTGAAGTTTTAATGGAGAATTTATGGATTTGCATTTATTTATAAGTTAATTTGACAATTATTAATGTCTTTACGCTTTTCCTGATTAATTTAAGAGTCAGCTTGTCATGCATCATAGAAATTCTTTTGAAGTTTTGATGGAGAATTTATGGATTTGCATTTATTTATAAGTTAATTTGACAATTATTAATGTCTTTATAATATTCAATCATCACATCCAGAATATATTATGTTTTAAGGCTAGTATAGATATCTGGTCTGGGCTTTTCCTTTTCTTGATATTTCATACATTTTTTGTGTCACAAGTTTTGGGTATTTAGCAAAGTCTGTGTAATTAGTTTTGTTTTGAGTCAACCTGGTGGCATTAATTTAAGTTTTTGTAGTCTCTTTATATCCCACTGGTGATTGTATTGATAGTGTCCTGATAGGCATCCATAGGTTAGTGGTTGAGGACATGGTCTCTGGCATTAGCTGCCTCTGTGTTAAAATCTCAGCTCTGTGACTTGGGCAGGCAACTTGACCCTCTGTGTAAATGTTTTCTCATTAATTAGGTAGGGTTCATAAATATATCCTTATGATAGAGTTGAAGGATCAATTAAATCATCTGATGCATTTAAGAGTTTGGCCACTGGGCCTGGTGTATATTAGGCACTAAGTTACTTTTATTGCCTGCTATCATGATCATGATCATGATCATCACCATTGTCATATTTGCCATTGTCATTGTTATTCTGACTAATGCTATCCTATTGTTCTCCCAAGATAAGCACCCTCATCTCACTTTTACTTACTGCTTTGCCTCCTGGAAATAGTCTGAACCACATTGTAGGCTGCAATCTTGTACATACTTGGCCTCTTCCCCTCATCCTTACCTGTTTTGAAGGACTTTCTATTCTGTCTCTCGTAGGTGAGATTTAAAATTTTTGGCTTATATTTCCCCATTAAGTTTTCTCTCTAAGGTACCTTTGAAGCTGTTCAAAATCATGTTTATTCTATAAAGGAAATTCATGGTTTTGTGGCCAGTAAGTGCCTGGAGAATTTATTTAGTTTTGATAGTAGGAGAGTGCCACATTTTCAGTTAATTTTATTCTATTCTAAAATCTGTTTAAAAGGAACCTTATTTAAATGTGTAGTATTTCAAATTCTGTCTTTACTGCTGTAGCACATGACAAACATGAGATTATGTATTTTATATTTGTTCTTTTCTTCCATCTATTAGGTGTTCATATATTTTTTGATTTGCCTGTTATTGTTCATGATAATTAAGGGTTTTCATTAGTATATTTGAAGTCTTGGAAAAGAAGAATTTGCGAGACATTTTAAAGTTGTTTTATTGAAACAACTGCAAAACAGTGAGAAACATGAAAACATTTATGACTTCTTTTTCTGCCAATTTTGTTTTACAGGAATCAAGAACCCAGTCTCAGTTGCTAACAGGCTCTTGTGTGAAGGGCAGAAGGGCAAGCTCTCGGCTGGCAGAATTCCTCCCTGGTAATCACTTTGTTCTTCCCGACTTTTCCTGGGTCTTTTGTCTTTCATGCATGCAGTGTTTGAAGGCTATTTTTATCCACAGAAAACTGATGCTATTGGTTCCACACCAGCAGTCGGTATGCCTTTGAGAGGAAGACACAGTTTGTTCTATGATCTTGGAATGTTTTGTATACTTGATAAAGCTCTGGATTGAATAGAATATTATGGATTAAATCAGAAAGGAGATCACAGTTAATTTTTGTTTTTTTAGTTGATTACAGAGATGTTTTTGCTGTTACTAAGTGCTCAATTGGAGTCATTATATTATGAAACTTTAAAAGTATCTTAGAGTCTAGAACCTAAAGTAATTTTTAATTTTGAGAAGTGCTAGAATAAAAGTACATAGAACATTATAAATAGCCCTCATCAACCTGCCATTAAATTAGAATAATTAACAATGTTTTGTCCTTCACTTGTCTCATGCATGTCAATATTTTTTCCCTATAGTATTTTAAAGCAAATCTCTGACATCATATTTCATCCTTAAATAGTTATATAAATATCTTTATGTTTGCAAAACATAGCCATCATACCATTAGCATGCTTAACAATATTTACACATATGCATTGATACCTGTGCTCAGCATGTTTGGCTGTGGAGGTTATATTTATGCTCTGTATTGAAAGTTGTGACACCAGTACTGTAGGAAGCACTGACTGTTACGTTTTGAAGTCACAGAAAATGAATTATTATAGTTTAAAAAAATCTTAAAACCTTTTACCCAGATATATTCAAGGTTTCCTTTTAATCATGTACTTCCCAATTATTTAATTGTTATACTAGAAGATCAGTTATAAAAACAATTCTCAATGAAATATTACTTTTTAATATTTGTTTTTTGATAAAGTAAGGATCAGGGGAAGTAAATCTGATTTTTTGAGATCATTTCTAATATATTTGGTTGATATCAATAAGTTTCTTTATAACTCTGAAGTGAGAAAAGTGATTAAAAAATTCTTATATGTACTTTTCTCATAACTTATGCTAAACCCATGCTATTTTGTTTAACTGGTATGAAATCCACCAACCCAGAATTTACTAGGCATTTGTTTAGTAGATACATGCAGTGTACTTCTATTCATACCTTTTTAGGGGAGTAGTAGGTGCAGAGATTGTCTCTGGGTTTGTATGCACCTCAATGTGCATTTAAACATGACTTTGTTCTTTTCCTCATATTTCCTATTGTATGTAGAACATGATGAACACTAACTAAACAATTTAGAGGACACTCATTTAGTAGGGAGAAAAGATGCATTTATTTTGGTTGACAATAAAAGTAACGTGAACACTGTACAAGTGCTTTGAAGACCACCTACAAATTTACCATAATAATCCCATTTCCTCAACTCCTCATGGCATTTACTAAGCAGACTCTCAGCAGTACGTGGAGAAACGTGTACAAGAATCACCAAGACAATTTTGAAACAGATCAAGGAGTTGGATTTATCTGATAACGTGATACTTTTATGTATTACTATAGTTGTTAAAACAGGTTGATATAGGTATAGACAGAACTGCAAATCCAGAAACAGACTCAGTATATAAAGGAATTTAGTTTATGATCATGATGTCATCTCAAATCATTGTAGAGAAAAAGGATGCTTTATTGAATAAATTGTGTTGGGACAACTGGCTACATAGTGGAAAAATGTTAAGTTAAATTGCCGTCATGCCAGTCAGAAAAATAAAGCCTAAACCTAAAAGCAAAACAGAATAGTATAAAAATATTAGGAAAAAATATGAGAGATTATATTTATGACTATGGGATAGCAAAACCTTATTAAGATAAAAAATAATGTTATAACACCAAGGTAAAGTGTTCATATCCCCATACCAGCCAACCGCAAAAAACATACTTATAAGAAAAGATAAAAAATACAGTTAAACATTTGAAACATATGACGAATGAAAATGTATAGCTACTATCCAACGTGATCAGAATTAAAAAACAATAGGTCTTTTGGAAATGAGAAAAATTATTTGCAGCATATATAGCAAACAAAAGATTAGTACCCAGAGTGTATAAGAACTATAAAATGTCAATAAGAAAAAGATAACCACAATTTTAAAAATCAGTAAAGGATACAAATAGCCAATTTATGGAAAAGAAAATATTCATGGCATATAAATACATGAAAAGGTGCTCAATCGTAATATTCACCTTATTAAAGTAGCAAAATAACAAATATCAATAATATCCAGTATCGTTGATGGTATAGAAAAACAGTTCTCTGTTTTAATTTGCGGCTGACTGGTATGGGGATCTGAACCTTTGATCTTGGTGTTACAACATTATGTTCTAACCAACTAAACTAACCAGCCAATCCCTAGAAAAACAGGTTTTTTCTTCTTCTAATTGTGGGAACATAAACTGATATAGCCAGCTGAGAGACATTTTGGTATTATTTATTAATGTAAAAATTGAAAATGCACAGTTGTATTTTAAGATAACACACCTGAACATGTACACAGGAAGGCTTATACATCAAAAGATGGTCACAGCAATGTTGTTTATAGGGTATAAAACTATAAGCAACCTAAATGTCCATCAGTCGTTAAATAAACTTTTCTGGTCATATTTATTAGATATCCAATGCATGAAAAAAGGAAAGAAAAAATTGGTGTAACATGGATTGCTATTACTATAAATCTGCTTGGGCTGCCATAACAAAATACCATAGAGTGGGTGGCTTAAATAGCAGAAGTTTATTTCTCACAGTTCTGGAGGTTGAAAAGTTTAAGATCAAGGTTCCAGCCTGTTCAGTTTCTGGTGAAGGCTATCTTTCTGGCTTGAAGATGGTCGCCTTGTCTTCACATTGGAGGTAGGACTGGAAGGGGTTAGTTTGTGAAAGAGAGAGAAATATTTTCCTCATCTTATAAAAACATTAATCCCATCACTAGGGCCCTACCCTCATGACCTCATCTACTCTTTTTTTTTTTTTTTAAGATTACCAGTAAGGGGATCTTAACCCTTGACTTGGTGCTGTCAGCACCATGCTCACCCAGTGAGCTAACTGGCCATCCCTATATGGGATCCGAACCCGTGGCCTTGGTGTTATCAGCACCATGCTCTCCCGAGTGAGCCATGGACCGGCCCTGACCTCATCTACTCTTAATCATTTCCCAAAGATCCCATCTCCAAATATCATTTTGGGGGCTAGGGCTTCAACATATGCATGTTTTGGTGGACATAATTCAGTCCATAGCAATAGATGTCCACATAGTAGAGTAAAAAAAATGAGGTAAGGGGATCGCAACCCTTGGCTTGGTGTCGTCTGCACCACGCTCAGCCAGTGAGCGCACCGGCCATCCCTACAGAGGATCTGAACCTGTGGCGGGAGCGCCGCTGCGCTCCCAGTGCCGCACTCTCCGGAGTGAGCCACGGGGTCGGCCCTTATGTTTTTCTTAATAACATTTTTTAATCTAGTTTACATTATTGTAGGAGTACAGTATGTAGTGCATATAACATACAAAATATTTCTTGGTCAACAGTTTTTGTTATTGGTAAGGCTTCTGGTTAACAGTAGGCTATTAGTAGTTAACTTTTTAGGGAGTCAAAAGTTACACATGACTTTTCAGTTGTGTGGGAGGTTGGGAAGTGGTGGTCAGTGCGCATAACCCCTGCATTGTTGAAGGCTTAACTATAGTTTTCTTGTAATGGCTTTAGTCTGTGTTCATTTGGCTTCTTGGATGAATAGGGATATATATTTCATCAAATTTGAAAAATTTTTGGCCATTATTTCTTCAGGTATTGTTTCTGACTCCCTCTTCTATCTTCAGGACTCTACACATGTGTATTGTCTTTTATAATAATGCTTAGATTACTGATAATTCGTTTACTTTTTTCATTCTGTTTTTCTCTCTGTTTCACATTTAATAGTTTCTCTTGCTATGTTTTTAAGTTTACTAATTATTTTTCTCCAATTTCTAATCACCTGCTAATCTCATTCAGTTTAATTTTCATTTCTGACATTACAATTTTTGTTTCCAGAAGTTTGATTTGCATCCCTTAAAAAATATCTTCCTTGTATCTCCTTAACATGTTTAATCTTTCCTTTAGCTTCTTGAACATATGAATAGAATTATAACAACTGTTTTAATACCTTTGTTTACTAATTCTATCATATTTGTAATTTTTAGGTTGTTTTCAATTGAATGATTTTTCTCTCCATTTAGGTTATATTTTCCTGCTTCTTTGCATCCTTGGTAATTTTTTATTGGATTCCAGACATTGTGAATTTTACTTTTGTTGGTGCTGCATATTTTTGTAATTTTATCAGTATTCTTTAATTTTATTCTCAGATGTGGTTTGTTCAAAAACCGCTTGGTCCTTTCAGCTCTTGCTTTAAAACTTTGTTACATGAGACTAGAGAAGCATTTAGCCTTGAGCTAATTTTGCTTTGCTGTTGAGGCAAAACACTTTGAAGTACCATACCAGATGCACCTGGAATAAGGCTTTTTACTCTAACCAATGGGAGTGCTCCAAACTTCTGTCTTGATCATTTAGTTTACTACTTAAGCATCTCTTTTACATCTTTGCATAAAGAGAAGTTATTTCTTTTATCAAATTCTTTTTTCTAGAAGAAGGAAGCGCTAAAAATGCCATCAGTATCCAAGCTCAAATCTGTATCCAAGTTTCTATTTTAGTTATTCTAACATTTGAATTTTATGTGACAGATTTTCTTTGCAGTGATCTTCATTTGGTTCAAGAATAGGCAAAACTGTTTTCTACTCTCAGAATCCTTTATAATTTCCAAAAAAATAGAGATTTGAAGGAATAAAGTTGTTTATTCTTGTTGGTCTTCTCTCCTCTCTCTTTTTAATGCTCCTCCATCCCCACCTTTATGTATATCGGAAAACAGTTATTGGGGTTAACCATTTACTTTCTCATTGGAACCATTTGGGTATGTTTCTGAATGTCTACTTTAATTTTGTTTTGCCAGTCTGTCACTGATCTTATTAACAATTGCATCTTAAGACTTCAATATGTGTTACTTTGAATTTTTAGTGTTGGAATGATTAGAAGAACAGAAACAAAAAATAGGGAGTGGAAACTCACAAGTAGGCACATGTTCAAGGAGTCCATTACTAGCTGGCTGAGATCTTTAAGAAGTTGGCTATGAATGAAGATGAAGTGATTGAGTATTATGGCAACTGCTTACTATTATTATTTGCTTGGTTAAATTACTTAAGGAATGGGGTAGTTAATTATCCTTCATGCTATTTGAAATCTTTGAAAATAAGTATTTTACAGTTAGTTAGTAGTATCATTTTATTCACTTTGTTATGTTAAAATTTGCTGTGTAGGGCTTAAAAAATTCCTTTTGAGACATACCACAGTACTTTACTTACCACAGTAAAAATGATTCTGAGGGTTATATATATATATATTTTGTAGCATCAAGGCTTAGAAGTGTTTCTCACTGGGCATCTTTATATGTACCCACTCATTTTGACAGCATCCAGGAATTCTAGGAAGAATACCAAATTTGAAGACATTCACTTAATCTTAGACTTTTAACCAGATTAAATAGATCTTGTGACATAAACTGAAACCATGTTGAGCCAAGATAAATCCTGATATTTTTCCACTGGGAAGCTGACTATTTTAACTTTTTATTATGTTGTGTTTTGCCAAGTTTTACTTGTTAGTTATTGCAAATGATATTGTAACATTTCCAGTTGTGAAATATTTAATTTGGGGAAAAATTTAAAAGAATTTTTGATCATGTAGCCATCTTATTATTTTGAGGTAAATCTAAAATTATGTCTATTTGCAAGGTTATTTTTCAATTGCCTTACCATATTACTTACATTACTTTACTGAATATGTAGGAGATGATGACACCGTCAATTTTTAAAATAATAATTTTTCTGTTGTTAGTTTTTTAGTTGGAGAAGGAGCCTACAGATGGGCAGTAGATCATGGAATACCCTCTTGCCCTCCTAACATCATGACCACAAGTGAGTAAAAACTTCTCAGAATCAAGCTATGTGAGCATATATACCTGAAAATGTTACATTTGCTTTTGTTATGACCCATGTTGTACAGATATTTCAGGAGGAAAGCTTATGTTAAGATATATATAGTTAAAAGATATGTAGAAAGTTATTTGATTTAAGCCACATTTATATTCCCTGTGTTTTCTCATGCTTTTATGGAAGTATTGCTGAAGAATCCCTTTTAGGTTACTTAAATGAATTACTACTAATAAAATCATAATACCACCTTTTATAGAAAGAGAGACAGAGAGGGAGAAAGAAAGAGAGAAAAGGAGAGAAAAGAAAACATAGGTCAACATTTAACTGTCCTTGAACTGAGGAAGAACTTTTTAGGTACAAGTCCAAGAGAAGGAAAAACAAAGGTGTGACTATAGAAGAGTTAAAACTGAAAAACATTTGTCACAAACATGACAGAGGGATATGTATTCTTAATTTATGAACAAGTTTACCAACTTTACGAAAATACAAGTAATAGCCCAACAGAAAAATGGTCAAAAGTCATAAATAGAGAATATGATATAACTGATAAGGAAAATAAAATAAGTACATGTTAAATTTGTTCCCTTTTAACTTGTGAAAGAGTTAAAAAATATTATATTATTCCTGATAAGTGTGTGGTTAAATGAATATGATACATTGTAAATTGGCAGAGATTTTGGAGGACAGCTGAGTAATATAGATCAAAAGCCTTAAACTTGTTCTACTTCTAGGAACATGTCATTGGAAATACAGACAAGGATTTATGTAGAAAGGTAATCAGTAAGCATTTTTAAGAATATAAAATAATTTGAAAAAAAGTCTTATGTTCAACATAGAGGAATGTGGGCAAATAAATTATCATGTATTCTTATAATGAAACATAGGTAACTAGAAATTGTTGTGAAGATTCATGTCTGATTAAATCTAACGAATTTTTAAAAAGTGAAAAGTGAAGTTATAAATATGTGTATATGTGTGTGCATTAATTATGTTCTTATTTTTTAAGAAAAATAGCTTCATGTTTATATAAAGGGAGAAATATTAAATATGTACATTATTTTTAAGTGAAATTTTTATTTTTATCAAAGTAATCTATGAACATATAATCAAATGAAAAAATGTGGAATTTTTAACTTCATGGAGACCAAGTTGTATAAAAAGGACATGATTATATTTCATAGCAAGTATATAATAAGGCTCAGCTTTTAATACTATTATATCCACCTTGACTATTCATGTAGGTGAAAATTATAATATAGGGAAGCCAGAGGGAAGATAAATGTGTTTGTGGCAGTGAAGGAGGAGGATGAGAGTTCTGAATTCTCATAGTCCCCATTGCTAATTCTGTCTTAAAGTCTTCCGAGTGGAACTTACTTTAGAGTTCTTATATCAGGCAAACAAATCAGGTCATCTGCTGGTTCCATTTTTTTCTTGGAGACGTGCCACCTGGCACCTTCCAGTCTAGAATCTTACTAGGTCTGCTGTGTAGCTGTCTTGGGAGTCCCTTTGCTTCTCTTCAGTATTAGATTCTCTGTTTCCTGGATCTCATGTGGTTTTGTTTCTTGTTTATTTGGTATATGTGATTCTGGAAATCATTTTCCTTTAGGTGTTTGAAGAGATTGTTCTCTTGTCATCTTGTTTCCCGTCTTGTTATTATTCAAGACTCCCAGTTCTTATGGTATATCTTTTCTCTTTCAGAGGAAGCTCTTAATTCCCATGTTTTGATTATTGCAATGAAGCATCTTGGTTTTTTTCATTTTTTTTGCTGGGTACTCATTTTGTACTTTCAATCTGGAAATTCATGTGCTTCAGCTTTGGGGAAATTAAACAAATTGTGGAATAATTTCTCCCTCCTTATTTTCTCTTTTATTTTTCTAATTTCTACTAATTAGATGTTGGATCATGTACTCCTAATCTTTGTATCTTTATTGAAAATATTTTTCCTCCTTTAAAAATCTCTCTGTTTTGTCCTACTTTCTGGATAGTGTCTTTAATTTTATCTCCCAAACCTTTTATTTCTGATGAATTTATAATTTTGGTTTTCATGTTTTTAATTACTAAAGATCCATCTCTGATTAATACACTTTTTATGTAGTGTCCTGTTCTTATTTCAAGAATGCGATAGTTTCTCTTATCCTTCCTACAGTTTGGTCTTATCTGGTGTTTCTGCTTTCTTCGGCTTACTTTTGTTTGTTTTTTTGTTTTGGACCCTACTGCATGTTGACAGATTTCCTCAATTATCTAGTGTCTTTTTATATTCATGAGTGAAGCACTTAGAAGCCATTTTGAAGCTATGTATGTGAATGCAGGTCTTGTTGACCTCAAGGTGAGTTGTGTGATCAGGCTTTTTGTTGGGGGAATGTCCTAGGTGTTGCCTCAGCAAAACGTTATGTCTATACATTTTTCTTTTGAATTGGTCAGAGAGAAATGGTTCCAGCTCTGGTAGGGCAATAGGCAGTATTCTGGTTACAGAAGAAGGAAAGGGTCTGGAGGTCTCATCTTTTCTTTATCAGACTTTTATATAGAGTCTGATACTTGTCCCAAGCTGTGCCCAGTGTCCACTAATTTGGGGCCCATCTGCTTCAGCCTTTCTAAAGAGTAAACCTCATGTTTTCTACAAGCATGGGAAGGGGATTTGGGCATCCAGATATTCCTATTGACAGTTTCTGCCAGTTATCGTGTTACTCCCGACCTGGCTTTCAGAGATACCCATGCCTTCTGTTCTGAGCTCTGCTCATGTTTCCTTGGCAGGAATTAGTTTACTTTGGCAGAGATTAGTTTGCTTTGTGATGTCTTGTCTACCAGATATTGGGGCTCATCTTCCTCTGCTCAATCAGTTACTGTTTGTCTACTTGCTTTCTTTTTTCTGGAATTATATTGATTTTGCCTATGGTTATCATCATTCCTACTTTGCATTCCTGGTGTATTTAAACCTTTCTTCCTCCTTAAATTTCTTTTTGGTAGGGTTTTAGTAGGGTGTGGAGATGAGATCAACTCACATGTTTAGTCTGCAATTTTACTTCAGAACATGTGTATAAAAGGGTGTTATGAAATGATTATTACTAGATTTTTCAGGATGACAAAAATATTTTTTGACTATACATTAGTATTTTATGTTTGTAACAAAAACATAATTGAAAGAAAATGAGCCGAAATGCTGGGTACCGATCAAGCTTTATTAAAAGAAGAAAATCTGCCAGGCTGCACTCAAAATGGAGGGAAGCACCAGGCATGGGGGTGGGAGAGTTTATATAGGCTGTAGGGAAGGCTGACATAATCAGGGAGGGGTTTGGTGCTGGTGTGGAGGAGTTTCTCTTTCTCAGAAGCCATGAGGTTTCTCATAAGGGAAAGGCTAGTGGCCATTTTATGCTGAGTTTGTGTAAAATGGCACCAGTCACGTCCAAGATCCATCATTCCCACCTTTTAAGTATAGGGAGAAGGGAAAAGGGGTAAAGGTCTCATTCTTCTGAAGCTACTTTCTGCTGGAGATGGGGAAAGATACGAAAAAAATAAAACAATTGGGTGGTGGGGTATTGGTTTCGTGTGGGGAGGCCATATTCTTCTGGGGAAGTGTCAGGGCCAACGGTTCTCAGGGGCTAATATCCTCCTCCCAGGAATAATTCGGCGACCTTTTGATTGGTGAAAGCCAGCATACGTTCCTGTAAGAAATTAGAGAAACACCGAAAGAGGCAGGGAGCAAGAAGGACAAGTCCCATCATGGTCAGGGGTCTGAGGTGTTTTGTCCTGAAGTCCTCCCCCATCGCTATAGCCTAGGTGAGTGGTTTGTGTGAAGCAGAAATGTTTTTGTTGTAGGCGGCACTGGACTCCAGCAGAATCCCCTTTGGAAAGAGCTATCCAGTAGTTTTTACCCCCATAAGAACGTGATGTGGCAGTTGTCTGGTCATAGCATGTTGTGGGAATGTATGTCAGGGATGTGAATGTGTCCTGTAGGGTTCCTGTGAAGATTCTGGGTGGCTGACCTGGGAGGTTGGAAAGTGTCCTTCCACCCACCAAGACCTTGGTTATACATTGTGAACAGGGTGTGGCATATGTCTCTGTTAGAAAAAGAAGCAAGAGGAAGAGAGAAGGCAAGGGTTCAGGGGCCAAGAGGTTGAGAGGGTGCATAGTAGGAAGGAGGAGTAGAAGGTAACCTTGTTAGGGGTGTAACTGCAGAGGGAGCCCTGCCAGGCTAATTCAGTTACCCACTCAAGGATGTCTTCAACACTGGAGGTGGTGAGTTGGGACCAGTCTTGGAGCAGCTCCTGTGTGAAGGACATGAAGTGGGCCTGTAAGAGTGAGAGGATAATTGCTGGGGAAAGATCATCCTTCTTCTGAGATTGGGGGAAGAGCAGAGGTCCTGGATATTTTCAGTTTTATGGGTCCTAAAATGGATGAAGTGTAAGTAGATGTTGGGTTGGGGGTTGAGCAGAGGGACCTCTCTGGCTTGGTGTTAACAGTAAAGTCTCAGGTGCAGGTTTTACCAAGGATAAGTGAGACCAAGGGGCCTTTCATAGTACTTTTACTGCCGTGGGGGTGGTGAGAAGTACTATATAGGGCCCTTCCCAACATGGTGAGAGGGGCTTTGGGTTCGAGTTTTAATATACACTTGCTGTACCGGGCTCGATCTAAAGTCTGAGGGGGTGGTGGGAAAAGGATGAGGTAATAGAAGGTTGGCCTGTTCCCGAAGAAGATCCCTAATGAGTGAAAGAGTAGGGAGATACTGGCTTAAAGGTGATGAGCTGGAAAGGAGAGGTGTGAGAGTGAAGGGCTGACCATACATAAGTCTGAGGGGGCTGAAGCCAGTGGGTTTGTGGGGGGCAGCTTGCAAGTGAGTGAGTGCTAGAGGGCTAAAAGGGCGGCTGCCATCAAGGCCCGTAAACATGGAGCCCATCCCTGGGCTGTGGTGTCTAGTTGTTTAGAGAGGTATGCAGCCAGGGAGAAAATATCATCTCCCTCTTGTCCCAAAACCTGACTGCCAATCCTTGGGTTT